CTACGCCCCTGGGTATGACAACTGACTATTATGAGCTCCCCGCTGACAGCCCACACTACGCCCCTGGGTATGACAACTGACTATTATGAGCTCCCCGCTGACAGCCCACACTACGCCCCTGGGTATGACAACTGACTATTATGAGCTCCCCGCTGACAGCCCACACTACGCCCCTGGGTATGACAACTGACTATTATGAGCTCCCCGCTGACAGCCCACACTACGCCCCTGGGTATGACAACTGACTATTATGAGCTCCCCGCTGACAGCCCACACTACGCCCCTGGGTATGACAACTGACTATTATGAGCTCCCCGCTGACACTGACTATTATGACCTCCCCCCCCACACTACGCCCCTGGGTATGACAACTGACTATTATGAGCTCCCCGCTGACACCCACACTACGCCCCTGGGTATGACAACTGACTATTATGAGCTCCCCGCTGACAGCCCACACTACGCCCCTGGGTATGACAACTGACTATTATGAGCTCCCCGCTGACAGCCCACACTACGCCCCTGGGTATGACAACTGACTATTATGAGCTCCCCGCTGACAGCCCACACTACGCCCCTGGTATGACAACTGACTATTATGAGCTCCCCGCTGACAGCCCACACTACGCCCCTGGGTATGACAACTGACTATTATGAGCTCCCCGCTGACAGCCCACACTACGCCCCCTGGGTATGACAACTGACTATTATGAGCTCCCCGCTGACAGCCCACACTACGCCCCTGGGTATGACAACTGACTATTATGAGCTCCCCGCTGACAGCCCACACTACGCCCCTGGGGTATGACAACTGACTATTATGAGCTATTTCAATTATCCTGGATGTCTTTAGAAATACAAATCTACAATTTTTGGATGGATTTACAAATCTATGCAAAATTTATGTGTTAAAATTACTTTTTTTATATGTTAAAAAATGAAGAATATATTTTAAAAATATTCTTCCCAAATATATTCCATGTAATTGAAATGCTACAATTGAGGCCCGCATTCTAATATATATATACTGTATGCTGAAGTGCGTTTTTATTACAAAATGTATGAAAAATGTTTTTAAAAATACATTTTCAAATATATTGGATGTCTTTAGAAATACAAATCTACAATTTTTGGATGGATTTACAAATATATGTAAAAATATGCATGTAAAATGACTTTTTTATATTGTAAAAAAAAAAATCTGAAGAATATATTTTTTAAAATATATATTTTTTAAAAATAGATATTTTTTTAAATATATTCTTCAGATTTTTTTTTTAACATATAACAAAAGTCATTTTACGTATATTTGTAAATCCATCCAAAAATTGTAGATTTGTATTTCTAAAGACATCCAATATATTGAAAATGTATTTTTAAAAACATTTTTCATATATTTTGTAATAAAAACTCATTTCACCAGACATTTTATATATATATTTACTGAAATGTATTTTGAAATATATAGAATACGGCCAAAATTGTAGCATTTCAAATATATGGCGATATATTTGGGAAGAATATTTTTTAAAATATATTCTTCATTTTTTAACATATAAAAAAAAGTAATTTTAACACATAAATTTTGCATATATTTGTAAATCCATCCAAAAATGTAGATTTGTATTTCTAAAGACATCCAGGATAATTGAAATGTATTTTTAAAAATATTTTTCATATATTTTGTAATATAAAAGCTTTTTCACCGGACATTTTATATATACAGTTGCAAGAAAAAGTATGTGAACCCCTTGGGATTCCGTGGAGTTTTGCATGAATTGGGCATAAAATGTGCTCTGAACGTCATCTAAGTCACAACGATAGAAGAACACAGTCTGCTGAACATAATACTACACAAACATTAGATGTTTTTGCCATGGTTTAATTGCACATAACATGTAAACACATTCACAGTGCAGGGAGGAAAAAGTATGTGAACCTTTGGACTTAATAACTGGTTGACCCTCCTTTGGCAGCAATAACCTCAACCAAACGTTTCCTGTAGTTGCAGATCAGACCTGCACAACGATCTGGAGTCATTTTGGACCACTCCTCCTCTTCACAAAACTGTTTCAGTGTAGCAATATTCTTGGGATGTCTGGTGTGAATCGCTCTCTTAAGGTCATGCCACAGCATTTCAATGGGGTTGAGGTCAGGACTCTGACTGGGCCACTCCAGAAGGCGTATTCTGTGCTGTTGCAGCCATTGTTTTGTTGAATTACTTGTATGCTTTGGGTCATCATTGTCCTGTTGCATCACCCATCCTCTGCGGAGCTTCAGTTGGCGGACAGATGGTCGTACGTTTTCCTGCAAAATGTCTTGATAAACTCTGGAATTCATTTTCCCATCAATGATAACAATCCGTCCAGCCCTGAGGCAGCAAAGCAGCCCCAAACCATGATGCTACCCCTCCGCCATGTTTCACAGTGGGGATGAGGTTTTGATGTTGGGGGCTGGGCCTTTTTTTTTCTCCACACATAGTGTTGTGTGTTCTTCCCAAACAACTCAATCTTGGTTTCATCTGTCCTCAGTATATTCTGCCAGTAGTGCTGTGGAACATCCAGGTGCTCTTTTCCAAACTTCAAACGTGCTGCAATCTTCTTTTTTGGACAGCAATGGCTTCCTCCGTGGTGTCCTCCCATGTACTCCATTCTTGTTTAATGTTTTCCTGATTGTAGATGTGTCAACAAAAATGTTAGCATGTGCCAGAGATTTCTGTAGGTCTTTAGCTGACACTCTGGGATTCTTCTTTACCTCATGCAGCATTCTGCGCTGGGCTCTTGCAGTCATTATTACAGGACGACCACGCCTAGGGAGAGTAGCAACAGTGCTAAACTTTCTCCATTTGTAGACAGTCTGTCTTACCGTGGACACATGAACATCAAGGCTCAAGGAGATACTTTTGTAACCCTTTCCAGCTTCATGCAAGTCAACAATTCTTGATCGTAGGTCTTCTGAGAGCTCTTTTCTGCGAGGCATGGTTCACATCAGACAGTGCTTCTTGAAACCAGTAAACCCAAAACAGGTGTCAGCAACACATCCAATATCATCACACTGATTGGAGTCAAGGTTGGCTCACTCCTGGCTCCAATTAGCTCTGGGAGAAGTCATTAAGCTAGGGCCTCACATACTTTTTCCTCCCTGCGCTGTGAATGTTTACATGTTATGTGCAATTAAACCATGGCAACATCTAATGTTTGTGTAGTATTATGTTCAGCAGACTGTGTTCTTCTATTGTTGTGACTTAGATGACGTTCAGAGCACATTTTATGCCAAATTCATGCAAAACTCCACGTAATCCCAAAGGGGTTCACATACTTTTTCTTGCAACTGTATATTTACTGAAATGTATTTTGAAATCTATAGAATGCGGCCAAAATTGTAGCATTTCAAATCTATGGCGATATATTTGGGAAGAATATTTTATTAAATATGTTTTCCAATATATTTTACCGCCACACAAACCAATCGTAATACACTGAGTGGGATTTTGTAGCAGAATACAAATATTGGGTTTTTTTTTCATATATGTAAACCCCCCCCCATCCCCCCCCCCCCCCCCCCCCCCCCCCCCCCCCCCCCCCCCCCCGTGGTGACCAATTACCACCAGAAGAAAGCTCTATTTGTGTGAAGAAAATGATATAAATGTCACCTGGCTGCAGCGTTGCACACGACAATTTCCCAGTTAAAGCAGCGCAGTGCTGAATAGCAGACAAATGCCCCGGTCATGAAGGGGGGGGAACCTTCCAGCTGAAGTGGTTAATGATGATGATACAACTTCCTCCCCTGCAGTTACCCCACCCGGCCCGGCCAGGAGGTCCTGCATGGATTCAACCTTCACATCCCCCCCGGGAGGACGGTGGCCATCGTGGGACAGTCTGGGGGAGGTGAGAGGACATGTGGGGTCACCCCGACATCATGGAAGATACGGTGTGCGATGGACGATGAATCCAATCAGATAATGGACGGTTTACCTACGTTGGGGTAGAGAGCAGAGTGATGGCATGTGGAGAGCTGTGTGGGCCCTAATGGGAGAGTGGGAGGAGACTGTGCACAGCTGGGGGCCCAGAGAAGAGTGGGAGCAGACCATGCACAGCTGGGGGCCCTAATGGGAGAGTGGGAGGAGACTGTGCACAGCTGGGGGCCCAGAGAAGAGTGGGAGCAGACCATGCACAGCTGGGGGCCCTAATGGGAGAGTGGGAGGAGACTGTGCACAGCTGGGGCCCAGAGAAGAGTGGAGCAGAGTGGTGGCATGTGGAGAGCTGTGTGGGCCCTAAATGGAGAGAGTGGGAGGCAGACCGTGCACAGCTGGGGGCCCTAATGGGAGAGTGGGAGCAGACCATGCACAGCTGGGGGCCCCCAGGAAGAGTGGGAGCAGACCGTGCACAGCTGGGGGCCCCAATGGGATGAGTGGGAGCAGACTGTGCACAGCTGGGGGCCCCAGGAAGAGTAGGGAGCAGAGTGTGGCATGTGGAGAGATGATGGCCCTAATGAGAAGAGTAGGAGCAGACCGTGTAAAACTGGGGGCCCTAATGGGAGAGTGGGAGCAGACTGCACAGAGCTTGGGGGCCCCAGAGAAGAGTGGGAGCAGACCTGCACAGCTGGGGGCCCTGGAGACAAGAGAGTAGGATGCAGACTGTGCACAGTTTAGAACCGGGCCCCAGGAAAGTAGCTCAGCAGACTGTGCACAGATGTCATAGTCCCCAGAAGAGTAGGAGCAGACCGTGTAAAACTGGGGGCCTCAGGATGATAGGAGCAGACTGCACAGTGGGGGCCCAGACAATAAGAGTAGGAGCAGACTGCACAATTGGGGGCCTCTGGAGACAGAGGAGCTGTGGAGAGATGTTTGGTTGGTTTTGTAGACGGGCCCCGGCACAATGGCTCTGCAGTCAGTGGACACATTGTACACGTATTCCATCTTCCCCGATACATTGTATTATAAAGTTTCTGTTGTTCTGACCCAGGAAAGTCCACCATTGCAGCACTGTTGGAGCGATTCTATGACCCCCGTCCGGGGGGCCGTGGAGCTGGATGGAGTGGACATTCGCTCTCTGGACCCGTCATGGCTAAGAGGGGAAGTCATCGGATTCATCAATCAGGTAAGTCTCCCTGGTCACAGGTAAGTAACCGAATCCGAGTCCCTGGAAGGGGAAATAATCTCTAATTGTGTGATGGAGGATGGGAAGCGTCACATGGGGGAGATTCCCCTCCACTTCCTGTCCCCCAGCAAACAGTGGAAGGGAAGTCCTCTCTAGAGAAACCCCCCCCTCTCCCACCACCACCTCCACCTCACCCAACCACCACCATCATCACTCATCACCCTCCACCACCCCATCATCATCATCACCATCACCACCATCATCACCACTCATTAGCACCGTCACCATCATCATCACTCATCATCACCACCATCATCATCACACCCCCATCATTATCACCCCCATCCCATCATCACCCATCACCACCCATCATCATCATCACCACATCACCATCATCACCCCCCCACCATCCCACCACCCATCATCATCACCACCACCATCGTCACCATCACCACTCATCATCATCATCACCACCACCACCCCCACCACCATCCCCATCATCCTCATCACCATCATCCTCACCACCACCATCACCATCATAATCACCATCATCACCCATCACCACCATCAAATTACCATCCATCATCATCCCCCACCACCATCATCATCCACCCCTCATCCCCACCAACATCATCACACCACCACCACCATCACCAACACCCATCACCACCCATCCCAACCCACCACCATCACCACAACACCACCACCATTCACCAACCCCCCATCATCATCATCCAACCACCAACCCCCACCCATCCCACCACACATCACCACCACCACCATACCAAACCACCCCCACCACCACCACCATAACCCCCACCACAATCATCACCACCACCACCCACCATCAATCATCACCACCACCATCACCACCATCATCATCACCACCACCATCATCATCACCACCATCATCATCACCACATCCATCATCACCCACCATCCAAACCATTTCACACCATCACCACCCACATCATTTTCACCACCACCCCCACCACACCACCATCACCACCACCATCACCCATCACCACCACCCACCACCACCATCATCACCACCACCACCATCACCACCACCCACCATCATCACCACCATCATCACTGGGCTGGTATAGGATGGCCATGGCCTGTACTAAGTATCAGGGGCGGACTGACCATTTGGAAACTCGGGCACTGCCTGAGGGCCCGGGGTCAGTAGGGGGCCCCATGAGATGCCCCTGGTACCTTTTTTCATAGGCTTTTTTTGAGTTTGGGCAAGGACACAGGGGCCCCATGATCCCCTATTGCCCGGGGGCCCCGTGAGTTGTCAGTCCGCCCCTGCTAAGTAGCATGGACAATGAACTGAAATTTTCCGCGTCTTGACCGATTCCTGTCCCCCTCAGGAGCCCGTCCTGTTTGGCACAACCGTCCTGGAGAATATTCGCTTCGGGAGGCCGGAAGCTTCTGATGCCGAAGTCTTCGAAGCTGCGAAGTTGGCGAACGCTGATGGCTTCATCCGGAACTTTCCAGATGGCTATAGGACCGTGCTGGGTGAGCCTCGTAGGCAGCCCCCCCCCCATGGATCACTTACCTGCGGCCAGGACCGTGCTGGGTGAGCCTCGTAGGCAGCCCCCCGGATCACTTACCTGCGGCCAGGACCGTGCTGGGTGAGCCTCGTAGGCAGTACCGCCCCCCCCCCCCCCCATGGATCACTTACCTGCGGCCAGGACCGTGCTGGGTGAGCCTCGTAGGCAGTCCCCCCCCCCCCCCCATGGATCACTTACCTGCGGCCAGGACCGTGCTGGGTGAGCCTCGTAGGCAGCCCCCCCCCCCATGGATCACTTACCTGCGGCCAGGACCGTGCTGGGTGAGCCTCGTAGGCAGCCCCCCCCCCCATGGATCACTTACCTGCGGCCAGGACCGTGCTGGGTGAGCCTCGTAGGCAGCCCCCCCCCCCCCATGGATCACTTACCTGCGGCCAGGACCGTGCTGGGTGAGCCTCGTAGGCAGTACCCGCCCCCCCCCCCCCCCCCCATGGATCACTTACCTGCGGCCAGGACCGTGCTGGGTGAGCCTCGTAGGCAGCCCCCCCCCCCCATGGATCACTTACCTGCGGCCAGGACCGTGCTGGGTGAGCCTCGTAGGCAGCGCCCCCCCCCCCCCATGGATCACTTACCTGCGGCCAGGACCGTGCTGGGTGAGCCTCGTAGGCAGCCCCCCCCCCATGGATCACTTACCTGCGGCCAGGACCGTGCTGGGTGAGCCTCGTAGGCAGCACCCCCCCCCCCCCCCATGGATCACTTACCTGCGGCCAGGACCGTGCTGGGTGAGCCTCGTAGGCAGTACCCCCCCCATGGATCACTTACCCGGCCCCCCCCCCATGGATCACTTACCTGCGGCCAGGACCGTGCTGGGTGAGCCTCGTAGGCAGTACCGCCCCCCCCCCCCCCCCCATGGATCACTTACCTGCGGCCAGGACCGTGCTGGGTGAGCCTCGTAGGCACCCCCCCCCCCCCCATGGATCACTTACCTGCGGCCAGGACCGTGCTGGGTGAGCCTCGTAGGCAGATCACCCCCCGCCCCCCCCCCCATGGATCACTTACCTGCGGCCAGGACCGTGCTGGGTGAGCCTCGTAGGCAGTACCCCCCCCCCCCCCCCCCCCCCATGGATCACTTACCTGCGGCCAGGACCGTGCTGGGTGAGCCTCGTAGGCAGTACCCGCCCCCCCCCCCCCCCATGGATCACTTACCTGCGGCCAGGACCGTGCTGGGTGAGCCTCGTAGGCAGTACCCCCCCCCCCCCCCCCCCCATGGATCACTTACCTGCGGCCAGGACCGTGCTGGGTGAGCCTCGTAGGCAGTACCCCCCCCCCCCCCATGGATCACTTACCTGCGGCCAGGACCGTGCTGGGTGAGCCTCGTAGGCAGTACCTGCGGCCAGGACCCTGGGTGAGCCCCCCCCCCCCCCCCATGGATCACTTACCTGCGGCCAGGACCGTGCTGGGTGAGCCTCGTAGGCAGCCCCCCCCCCCCCATGGATCACACCTGCGGCCAGGACCTGCGGCCAGGACCGTGCTGGGCCAGAGCCTCGTAGGCAGTAGCCCGTAGGCCCCCCCCCCCCCCCCCCACGGATCACTTACCTGCGGCCAGGACCGTGCTGGGTGAGCCTCGTAGGCAGCCCCCCCCCCATGGATCACTTACCTGCGGCCAGGACCGTGCTGGGTGAGCCTCGTAGGGCAGCCCCCCCCCCCACGGATCACTTACCTGCGGCCAGGACCGTGCTGGGTGAGCCTCGTAGGCAGTACCCCCCCCCCCCATGGATCACTTACCTGCGGCCAGGACCGTGCTGGGTGAGCCTCGTAGGCAGTACCCCCCCCCCCCCCCCCCCCGTGGATCACTTACCTGCGGCCAGGACCGTGCTGGGTGAGCCTCGTAGGCAGCACCGCCCCCCCCCCCCCCCATGGATCACTTACCTGCGGCCAGGACCGTGCTGGGTGAGCCTCGTAGGCAGTACCCCCCCCCCCCCCATGGATCACTTACCTGCGGCCAGGACCGTGCTGGGTGAGCCTCGTAGGCAGCCCCCCCCCCCCCCCATGGATCACTTACCTGCGGCCAGGACCGTGCTGGGTGAGCCTCGTAGGCAGTGCCGCCCCCCCCCCCATGGATCACTTACCTGCGGCCAGGACCGTGCTGGGTGAGCCTCGTAGGCAGTACCCCACCCCCCCCCCCCCCCCCCCCCATGGATCACTTACCTGCGGCCAGGACCGTGCTGGGTGAGCCTCGTAGGCAGTACCGCCCGCCCCCCCCCCCCATGGATCACTTACCTGCGGCCAGGACCGTGCTGGGTGAGCCTCGTAGGCAGTACCGCCCCCCCCCCCCCCCCCCCATGGATCACTTACCTGCGGCCAGGACCGTGCTGGGTGAGCCTCGTAGGCAGTACCACCCGCCCCCCCCCCCCCCCCCCCATGGATCACTTACCTGCGGCCAGGACCGTGCTGGGTGAGCCTCGTAGGCAGTACCGCCCCCCCCCCCCCCATGGATCACTTACCTGCGGCCAGGACCGTGCTGGGTGAGCCTCGTAGGCAGTACCGCCCCCCCCCCCCCCATGGATCACTTACCTGCGGCCAGGACCGTGCTGGGTGAGCCTCGTAGGCAGTACCCCCCCCCCCCCCCCCCCATGGATCACTTACCTGCGGCCAGGACCGTGCTGGGTGAGCCTCGTAGGCAGTACCCCCCCCCCCCCCCCCCATGGATCACTTACCTGCGGCCAGGACCGTGCTGGGTGAGCCTCGTAGGCAGTACCCCCCCCCCCCCCCCCCATGGATCACTTACCTGCGGCCAGGACCGTGCTGGGTGAGCCTCGTAGGCAGTACCCCCCCCCCCCCCCCCCCCCCCCATGGATCACTTACCTGCGGCCAGGACCGTGCTGGGTGAGCCTCGTAGGCAGTACCCCCGCCCCCCCCCCCCATGGATCACTTACCTGCGGCCAGGACCGTGCTGGGTGAGCCTCGTAGGCAGTACCGCCCCCCCCCCATGGATCACTTACCTGCGGCCAGGACCGTGCTGGGTGAGCCTCGTAGGCAGTACCGCCCCCCCCCCCCCCCCCATGGATCACTTACCTGCGGCCAGGACCGTGCTGGGTGAGCCTCGTAGGCAGCCCCCCCCCCCCCCCCATGGATCACTTACCTGCGGCCAGGACCGTGCTGGGTGAGCCTCGTAGGCAGTACCCCCCCCCCCCCCCCCCCCCACGGATCACTTACCTGCGGCCAGGACCGTGCTGGGTGAGCCTCGTAGGCAGCCCCCCCCCCCCATGGATCACTTACCTGCGGCCAGGACCGTGCTGGGTGAGCCTCGTAGGCAGCCCCCCCCCCACGGATCACTTACCTGCGGCCAGGACCGTGCTGGGTGAGCCTCGTAGGCAGCCCCCCCCCATGGATCACTTACCTGCGGCCAGGACCGTGCTGGGTGAGCCTCGTAGGCAGCACCCCCCCCCCCCCCCCCCATGGATCACTTACCTGCGGCCAGGACCGTGCTGGGTGAGCCTCGTAGGCAGTAGCCCCCGCCCCCCCCCCCCCATGGATCACTTACCTGCGGCCAGGACCGTGCTGGGTGAGCCTCGTAGGCAGTACCGCCCCCCCCCCCCCCATGGATCACTTACCTGCGGCCAGGACCGTGCCGGGTGAGCCTCGTAGGCAGCCCCCCCCCCCCATGGATCACTTACCTGCGGCCAGGACCGTGCTGGGTGAGCCTCGTAGGCAGCACCCCCCCCCCCCCCATGGATCACTTACCTGCGGCCAGGACCGTGCTGGGTGAGCCTCGTAGGCAGTACCCCCCCCCCCCCCCATGGATCACTTACCTGCGGCCAGGACCGTGCTGGGTGAGCCTCGTAGGCAGTGCCGCCCCACCCCCCCCCCCATGGATCACTTACCTGCGGCCAGGACCGTGCTGGGTGAGCCTCGTAGGCAGTACCCCCCCCCCCCCCCCCCCCCCCCATGGATCACTCACCTGCGGCCAGGACCGTGCTGGGTGAGCCTTGTAGGCAGTACCCCCCCCCCCCCCCCCCACGGATCACTTACCTGCGGCCAGGGACCGTGCTGGGTGAGCCTCGTAGGCAGCCCCCCCCCCATGGATCACTTACCTGCGGCCAGGACCGTGCTGGGTGAGCCTCGTAGGCAGTACCGCCCCCCCCCATGGATCACTTACCTGCGGCCAGGACCGTGCTGGGTGAGCCTCGTAGGCAGCCCCCCCCCCATGGATCACTTACCTGCGGCCAGGACCGTGCTGGGTGAGCCTCGTAGGCAGCCCCCCCCCCATGGATCACTTACCTGCGGCCAGGACCGTGCTGGGTGAGCCTCGTAGGCAGCCCCCCCCCCCCATGGATCACTTACCTGCGGCCAGGACCGTGCTGGGTGAGCCTCGTAGGCAGCCCCCCCCCCATGGATCACTTACCTGCGGCCAGGACCGTGCTGGGTGAGCCTCGTAGGCAGTACCGCCCCCCCCCCCCCCAGTACCGACCGTGCTGGGTGAGCCCCCCCCCCCATGGATCACTTACTTACCTGCGGACCAGTGACCGTGCTGGGTGAGCCTCGTAGGCAGTACCTCGTAGGCCCCCCCCCCCATGGATCACTTACCTGCGGCCAGGACCGTGCTGGGTGAGCCTCGTAGGCAGCCCCCCCCCATGGATCACTTACCTGCGGCCAGGACCATGCTGGGTGAGCCTCGTAGGCAGCCCCCCCCCCCATGGATCACTTACCTGCGGCCAGGACCGTGCTGGGTGAGCCTCGTAGGCAGTACCGCCCCCCCCCCCCCCCATGGATCACTTACCTGCGGCCAGGACCGTGCTGGGTGAGCCTCGTAGGCAGTACCGCCCCCCCCCCCCATGGATCACTTACCTGCGGCCAGGACCGTGCTGGGTGAGCCTCGTAGGCAGCCCCCCCCCCCCCCATGGATCACTTACCTGCGGCCAGGACCGTGCTGGGTGAGCCTCGTAGGCAGTAGTACCCCCCCCCCCCCCCCCCCCATGGATCACTTACCTGCGGCCAGGACCGTGCTGGGTGAGCCTCGTAGGCAGCACCGCCCCCCCCCCCCCCATGGATCACTTACCTGCGGCCAGGAC